CTCTCTCTCTCTCTCTCTGTGTGCAGTACTAACCTGTGAAGTTGGCGCCTTGATGCAGGTACCACGAAGATGGAGCTGGAGCGATGGCGCCACAGGTAAGTAACACTGGCCTCCGCCAGTCTCTCTCCCACTCTACGATCTACCACCTACCAGCGCCCAGCGCTGAAGACTACAGCAACAGCTATGGCGCCCAGCGCCGAAGACTACAGCTAGCACTACTTACTACTAGCGCTGAAGACTACTGCAGCGCTCCTCCTGAGTGCTGCGGCCGAATCCTGAAGACTACCACTGCCTACTGACACTACCTACCCATGAAGTGCATGGGAACTTCCTATGTACTACGGGTGTGCCTCCTGAGCCTGCCGACGGGAGGCAGGGGCTGCAGCTGCAGCTCCTGCTCAAACTCGTGAGGAACAGGCTATTTCTGGCCTGTTCCGCATCCCTGTTTACGTGCCTGAGTCTTAGGGGCAGGTCGAAACAATGAGAGCCTGAAAATGGCCCTCCGTTTCAGGCTGAAAACTCTGGGTCTGAAAAGACCCAGAAATAGGCTGAAACGGGGTAGGGCCTGCCGGCCCTCGTTTTTCAGCTTTCAGGCTGAAACGAACGGGGCTTGTAAGCCCTAAGTTTTAGGCTTTTAGGCTGAATGTCCGGGACGGGCCCTGCAGGGCCCGTGTGGCTACGCAGTTTGCCACATAGGTGGGTGTACTGAAATTGTTCACAGTTCACAGTGCGCCAGAAAACGAGAAAGCTCGCCCATGGGGCCCGGCGGCGGCCGGCGTAGATGCGAGGGAACATCTTGAAGTGTCCGCCATCAGAGAGACGGGCAGTTTGTTCGATTTTCATTTATTTATTTTTTTCTTGCGTGGGCGGGCAGTTTGTTGTTTTGTTTTCCTTTATTTCGTTTCCTTGTGCGGGCGAGCAGTCTCGTCATTTTGTTTTAAATGTTTTTCATTTTTTAGTTTTTTTTTTTTTTTTCTGACAACTTCAATGTCTCCTTTCTATTGGCGGGGAGCTGCACCTGTTGGAAACCGGGTCCAGCGTCCCTTCCAACGAGTATTAAATCATCAGGTAACTACTCAAAGTTCGGAAACTCTGCGCTATCAGCAAAAATGACACCTCCTCACCCTGAGACGCCTGAAATGAGTTAGCATCCAGTCCCACCGCCCACTGTGCCCAGACTTGTAACAACCAATTCTGAGGATCGAAAAGTTCTTGTAACAACCAATTCTGAGGATCAAAAAGTTCCACAGTTAGCTCAACAGCTGAAGGCCAGCCCCTAAATAATTGACAACATAACTTGAGCAAGCCTATCCTTCTGGCAACAGCCTTTGATTCTATCAATAACACTTCATGGAGGTTTGCGACCCCTCTGCAATGAACCCAGATCGTGGAGACGGTCGTCAACAATGCAAGCCCGGAATGTCAACCAGCTGATGATTACCAATAGTCAACATCGTATCCAGACAGAATGAGATGGGATAATCATACACAGACGAAGAAAGAGAGGAGGGAGATTAGACAAAGGAGACGAGATATATACAAGGCCCACTCCTACTTCGGGCTCCCTCCTCGATCACCACCTCAATAACCAATAGTCTGAACGAGTATCTGAAGTAACCTCAATGCGCCACGTGGCACGTCTAATTAGTCCCTCATCAGCACTGGAGCAATGTCGACATGAAGACAATCAGGTAAGTATCCACGATCTCTCTCCACAGTCCCGATCTCCTCCTGAATGACTATAATCAGAACAGCAACGCAAGTCACATAGCTTCGCCTTGTCAATCAGTAGTCCACGTGGCAGCAGCCACATCAGCGACAGCGCATGGCAGCTGCCACATCAGCATGCGAAGAATACAGGTGCAAGCCAGCCACCGTGCCGGACCATCAGCGCCTTGCCGAATCACAATGCCAGTGTCGCAGCGTGGAGCCAGCGTTGAAGTCAACGCGTGAAGTCAGCATCAACGCAAGACAGAATCAAAGCCAGGAAGTCAGCGCTTATGTAGCGTTGACGCCGGTTCTGGACCCCGGACGGCGGATGCTGCATCCCTCAACCGTCCAGATCTCAATGCAAACGAGGGCCCAGATTGGTCTGGAACCGAATTCCCTCCGGCCTGGATGCTGTCTGGGTACCTGCGCACAACAAGTGAGTGTATCCAACCAAGGGCCTGGGTGTGGTACCTTTGACTCTACAGTGGACTTTGACCCTTGAATTTCTTGTGTGCACCGTTCGGTCACACAGCCATTCGCGACAGACTCAGGCCTGGGCGTCTCTTGGTCACACAGCCCAGCGCAGACCATGTCAGGTCTGTGTTGCCTGGGGCTGAGTTCTGGGCCCCAGGCTACTTCTGAACAGGGTTACTGCATTCCTTCCGGCCCTTTTTTTTTTTTTTTTTTTTTTTTTTTTTTGGGGAGAGCAAAAGCACACATCCTTTTCCCAGGCTTAATTCACAAAAACAGGCTACCGCTGATTTCCTCCCAAATCCATGATGCGCGACCGTCACACCCCCCTCACACTAATCCACATACATGGCTAGTGGGATCTCCCTCCTGTTCTGCAGTAACAGTATCAATATCTTTTTTTTTTTTTTTTTTTTAAGCAGCCCCCTGCAGTGTTAGTGGTGCTGATAAGAGCAGACACCTTTAGCACCCGGGAGAAGGCTCCATCTATTGGTGGGGAGCGTCACCTGCTGGAAAACAGGTCCAGCCTCCCTTACACAGATCAAGATTGGAGTATATGATGTATATCCTTTTTTTTTTTTTTTTTTTTTCTTTGTTTTTTTTTCTGAAAGGCCCTTGTGCAAGGCCTCTATCCTGGTGGTGGTAAGAGAACCACCGGGATTGAGGCTTTGCCTGGTGGGCCGCTCCATCTATTGGTGGGGAGCAACACCTGCTGGAAACCGGGTCCAGCGTCCCTTAAATACATCTTGACAAATCTTGGAGAGTGACGCCATTGTGCTGGAAACCGGGTCCAGCGTCCCATATCCCATCTACTCTCCCCTACCAAAACTGCAGCAAGGTCGGGTATTGGGGGGAGAAACCCCGGGGGGCACCAGTGGAGTCTCCCTTCCTCCCCTAGCCTCTGCCATCCACCTACTGACCTCATGGCGCCTAATGTATCTTACTTTCTGAAATAGCATATGTTTGAGAAAAGTTAAGATAACAGAAATAGACAGGAATGTGCTGCACAGACATCAGTTGAAGTCTTCTCATTCGTGCTTTCCGAAGACTTTTTTCCTCAGTGAGAGTGATGCTACAGTGCTGGAAACCGGGTCCAGCATCCCATACCTGATCTATGTGTCCAATCCAACCAGCGTCCCATACCTGATCCGTGTGTCCCCTCCAACCGAAATCTTCTCATTCGTGCTTTTCCGAAGACCTTTTTCCTCAGTGAGAGTGACGCTACAGTGCTGGGAACCGGGTCCAGCGTCCCATACCTGGTCAATGTGTCCAATCCAACCTCTTGCTGGAAACCGGGTCCAGCGTCCCATACCTGATCTGTGTGTCCCCTCATGGAGGGGGGAAATTTTCTTCTAAAGTCAAAGGGTGAGGAGGGAAGGGGTCTGCAAACTCTTGAGCGGGGCGTAACCTGTCGCCAGGATCTATGTTGGTCCAGTCGTGGAAGATCAGCTGATAGTCTCTTGCTGTCTCTGCCTGATATCCTTCAGGCAGTTGTCCTTCCTGCTGGCGGTCCCCAGACCATCTTATCTCCGCCACCCACCCTTCTCTCTCCCCGGGCCTCCCAGCCAGTCTTGACTAAATCGGGAGATAATTCGAGTGCATTTGGTCAAGC